CACAAGAGGTCAGTGGGGGTGCAGCGCCGGAGCTGTGGGTGGGTTTCACTGGCACGAGGAGCAGCGTTTTCCTGTAATGGGTGTGATCAGCATCCCATTGCGGGGGGCCGCACACTGGTGGGGGTGGAGGGGATCCCCATGACCTGTAAAGCACTTTAAGTGGAGTGTCCAGAAAAGAGCTATATCAGTGTAAGCAATTATTATTATTATTATTATAATTCTAATGAGTGTTTCCTGCGGCTGAGTCGTGGGTCGCGGCGCCCAGCTGCGGTGATTCTCGCCGCGCCGGGTGTGCGGTGGTTTAGATCGTGAGGGGGCGCGTCATCGCGTCCGTCTCGCGCGTGTCCCCGTCCGCCGCTCTTAGCTGGGCGTGTCCCGTGCCTCCCCGGCAGGTACCTGTACGAGCGCATCGACGGGCGCGTGCGCGGGAACCTGCGGCAGGCCGCCATCGACCGCTTCAGCCGCCCGGACTCGGACCGCTTCGTCTTCCTGCTGTGCACGCGGGCGGGGGGGCTGGGCATCAACCTGACGGCCGCCGACACCTGCATCATCTTCGACTCGGACTGGAACCCCCAGAACGACCTGCAGGTGAGCCGCGCCGCCCCTCTGGGCTCCTGCCGGTCCGGATTCCCGTCATCAGACCGGACTGGGGAAGGAGCCGCCATCGGTACTGCCGTTGGCCAGTTCCTCGCAGCTAATCTCCCAGTCTCTCCACCCCCACAGGCCCAGGCGCGGTGCCACCGCATCGGCCAGTCCAAGGCGGTGAAGGTGTACCGGCTCATCACGCGCAACTCCTACGAGAGGGAGATGTTCGACAAGGCCAGCCTGAAGCTGGGGCTGGACAAGGCCGTGCTGCAGAGCATGAGCGGCAAGGAGAGCAACGTCAACGGGGTCAGTGCGTCCCGCCCGGCCCCCTGCCTCTCTCCGGGAGACCGCCTCCCCGCTTGGCGGTTTTCCCTGCTTCCGTTTGCAAATCGGCCGTCCTTCAGTCTGGCGAAGGAGAGTGGGTAAAGGTCTGTTAAACGCTGAAATGAAAACGGAAGAAACGCAGCGTCCCAGCTGTGCGGCCTGCTTCTGGTGTGGTTTCACGGCGGAGAAGTTCTTCCAGCCTGAAGTAAACCTTCATCTGTTCCTTTGCAACCTGCGCATGCTGACGCAGCCCCCTGCTTGAGCTGTCCTCCGCTCTTGTCTGCTGCGTCTTTCTTCGCTCTCCCTCCTTCCCGCTCGGCCACGGTGCTTGACGACGCGCTCCTCCGTCTCCCCCCTCCCGCAGATCCAGCAGTTCTCGAAGAAGGAGATCGAGGACCTGCTGCGGAAGGGGGCGTACGCGGCCATCATGGACGAGGGGGACGAGGGGAACAAGTTCTGCGAGGAGGACATCGACCAGATCCTGCAGCGCCGAGCCACCACCATCACCATCGAGAGCGAGGGCAAGGGCTCCACCTTCTCCAAGGTCAGATGCCGCTCCTGTCCAGTGCTTTCAGGCGGCGTGCGAGTGTAGGACGCCTGCTGTTTCGCCTTTGGGCATGAGCTCGTGAGTGTGGGAAGCCTGCCAGATTGATCTACGAGCATGAGTTTGCGGGTGTAGGATGCCTTGCGTCTTACCTTTGGGAGCAAGTTTGCGAGTGTGGGAAATTGATCTACGAGCGTGAGCTCGCGACTGTGGGACGCCTGTCAAATTGATCTACGAGCGTGAGCTCGCGACTG